CGTCGCATCCCGGCAGCCAACCCTTCGTCCAATACGGGCCGGTCTCGCCACCTCGCTATGCGCCTACTGACCACCTAGACTTTCAGCCGCAACGCGCACCCTCTCCTCGTCGGCGATCGCCCTCCCCCATGCGTCGCCGGCCCGGACCCTCCGACCAGGAAAACTAAGCAACGCAGTCCAAGAGGCAAGATCTGCGCCGTTTTCGAACTGTCTAAGCCCTCGCTCCTCTCCTGCTAACGTGGTCGCAGTAACTGTTGAAGGTTATTGTACTTTCGCCCTTGTGGACACTGGCGCCGCTGTTTCTGTTATTGCCGCTAATCTCTGCCGTTTATTACGCAAAGTAACGACGCCGCTTTTGGGACTGTCGCTTCACACCGCAAGCGCACAGCAAGTAACGCCTCTCGCAGCCTGCACTGCAAGAGTCTCCATCGAAGGCATTCTTTACATCGTGGAGTTTATTGTTCTTCCTGTCTGTTCGCATGACGTCATCCTCGGGTGGGACTTCCTATCCCGCCATAATGCCGTCATTGACTGCGCACGCGCCGAAGTTGAGTTTTCGCCCTTGTGTGATGTCCCATTACTGGACGCTCCTCATCAGCCGCCGAAGTTGCTCGTTCTTGAAGATACCGATATTCCGCCTGGAAATTTCGCCCTTGTTCCCGTTTCATGCAACGCCTACACTGACGCTACAGTTCTTTTTATGCCTTCCGATATCTTCAAATGTCGTCGAGCTTTGCCGCTGCCTTTCGCAACAATTGACCTTGCCGCCGGAAGAAGCAACATGTTCGTAAGCAATCCGCTTTCCACACCTGTCACATTGCTTGCGGGGGAATGTCTCGGCCGCGTGCAGGATCTCGACCCTTCGTTTTTGTTTGATGTCCCGGACGACTACTGCGACCACCCAAAAGCACTGTCAGCACTTGGGGAGTCGTCCAATGATACGTGTTCCAGCGCCATCGCTGACACTCTCACTCCTACCGAACATGCCGACCTGCTGGATCTTCTCCATGAGTTCAGGAGTTCGTTCGATGTGTCGCAACCTCAACTGGGCCGCACATCACAAGTCAAACATCATGTTGACACCGGCCTACACCAGCCACTGCGTCAAAGACCATACCGTGTCTCCGCTGAAGAGCGCCGCGTCATCAACGATCAAGTTGAAGATATGCTTCGTAGGGACGTCATTCGACCATCTCACAGTCCCTGGGCGTCTCCCGTCGTCCTGGTGCGTAAGAAAGACGGATCTATCCGATTTTGCGTGGACTATCGTCGTTTGAATAAGATAACCCGCAAGGACGTCTATCCTTTGCCGCGCATTGATGACGCCATTGACACCCTTCACGGAGCGGAATTTTTCTCGTCGCTAGATTTGCGGTCTGGCTACTGGCAGGTCCCAATGGCAGAAGCCGATCGCCCAAAAACGGCATTTATTACACCAGACGGACTATATGAATTTAACGTCATGCCCTTTGGGCTTTGTAACGCGCCTGCCACGTTTGAACGTCTTATGGATAACACGCTACGTGGCCTCAAATGGAATATGTGCCTGTGTTACCTCGACGATGTCGTGGTTTTCTCCCATGACTTTCCTACGCACCTCCTTCACCTCAGGCACGTTTTAAGTTGTCTGACCAACGCTGGTCTGCAGCTTAACCTAAAAAAATGCCGCTTCGCTGCACGCGAGCTCGTCATCCTAGGCCACATCGTGTCCAAGCACGGCGTATTACCAGACCCAGCAAAACTTCGAGCAGTCGCAGAATTTCCCAAGCCGACGACCATGAAAGAACTTCGCAGTTTTGTAGGCCTATGCTCCTATTTCCGGCGCTTTGTTCGCAATTTTGCATCTATCATGTCACCGTTAACGCAGCTTCTTCGCGGTGACGTGAACCTCACCTCCTGGTCCCCTGCATGTGACGTTGCCTTCGCTACTCCGCGCCGTCTGCTTACTTCCCCACCTATTCTTCGCCACTTCGACCCGACGGCTCCTACCGAAGTGCACACCGACGCCAGCGGCGTCGGGCTAGGCGCGGTCCTCGCTCAACGAAAGCCCGGCTATTCAGAATACGTTGTAGCTTACGCTAGCCGCACTCTGACGAAAGCCGAAACTAATTACAGCGTGACAGAAAAAGAGTGTTTGGCTCTGGTGTGGGCGCTTGGAAAGTTTCGGCCGTACTTATACGGCCGCCCGTTCGATCTAGTAACTGATCACCACGCGCTTTGCTGGCTTTCCACATTGAAAGACCCTTCTGGCCGCCTTGCGCGATGGGCACTCCGCATCCAGGAGTACGACATTCGCGTCGTATACCGCTGCGGACGCAAACACTCTGACGCTGATGCCCTGTCCCGCTCACCTTTGCCACCAGATCCGACGTGCGGAAACACGTGCCTCCAGTACTTGTCATCGTTAAATCTTGAATCAATTGCCACCGAACAACGTCGTGACCCGTGGATCGCCTCTCTTATCGAATATTTATCTGGCACGCCCAACCTTCCAGTATCTCGATCCCTCCGACGTCAAGCTCTCCATTTCGCCATCCGCGATCAACTTCTTCATCGACGCAACTACGCTCCCGATGGCCGCCGGTGGTTGCTGGTCATTCCACGCACTTTACGATCGCAAGTATGCGCCTCCCTTCACGACGATCCGCAATGTGGCCACGCCGGAGTGTTCAAAACATATGAACGCCTTCGCCATCGCTATTACTGGCGCGGCATGTACAATTTTGTACGTAAATTCGTGCAGTGCTGTCCTGACTGCCAGCGACGTAAATCAACACTGTCACGTGCGACTGGCGCATTGCAGCCACTTCCATGCCCTGCCAAGCCATTTGACGCGTCGGCGTTGACCTCTACGGTCCCCTTCCATTGACACCAGATGGTAATCGGTGGATTATAGTGGCGGTCGACCACCTGACACGCTACGCCGAAACAGCCGCTTTGCCGAGCGCTACAGCTCAGGATGTCGCCTCTTTCATTTTGCAACGCTTTATCCTTCGACATGGTGCACCTCGAGAGCTCCTTAGTGACAGAGGCCGCGCTTTTCTTTCCGAGGTCGTCAAAACTCTGCTTTCGGAATGCCACGTCATTCATCGGAAAACGACAGCATACCACCCGCAGACTAACGGACTAACGGAACGGTTCAACCGCACGCTAGGTGATATGCTGTCAATGTACGTGGCATCTGATCACAGCAACTGGGACCGTGTTCTCCCATACGTCACGTTCGCATATAACACCGCAATACAATCCACCACGGAATTCTCACCTTTCTTTCTTCTTTACGAACGTGAGCCTTCCCATACAATTGATACCCTACTTCCTTACCGTCCTGATGCTTCCGAGTGTCCACCTATCTCCGATGCTGCTAGACAAGCCGAAGAGTGCCGCCAGCTCACCCGTGCGTTCACCTCGGAAGAACAACAACGCCAGAAAGAAACTTGTAGCACCTCTCTTCCGGATCCCAACTATGCCCCAGGGTCTCTTGTGGGGCTTGCCATCCCATACCAAACACCGGGACTCTCCTCGAAACTTGTCCCGCGGTACGAGGGGCCTTACACCGTTTTTGGAGAAAACCTCTCCGGTTAATTTCCTAATTGAACCAGTTTCCCGATCGGACGACATGCGCCGGCGTGCTCGTGACATCGTCCATGTTTCCCGACTGAAACCGTACCATGAGCCTTTGCCTGAAACTTCTTAAGTCGCCAGGATGGCTCCTTTTTCAGCGGGGGCGATTGTGAAGAAGAAGATGTGCCTGCAGCGAGCAGCATCGCCAACGCCTGGCTCTCTCGGCTCGTGCTTCGGTTCGTTGCTGTGCCGATCGCTGGACGGTTCTTGACGCTGTCTCGTCGCTGTCTTTAACGGCTAATAAACCTCCTCACAAGGACAATCATATTGCCATATTGCTACCAAAACGTAATAAAAATACAGATGACGAAAAAGAAGACGATGTCAACTCAAACACTTTCACTGTGAGAGACGTGGGGATTGAATTTAGGTCGGCTAATCGAAGCCTTCTTCAATATTCTGGCAAAATTACTTCTCACGTACCTTATTTTAATGACGTGACCAGGGCACTGAGTTATCTAGAGCGTAACTGCGCTTCGGTTGACGACGTCAAAAATGTCCGTGCGGAATATAATAGTAAAATTATGATTCAGGACATGAGAGCAATATGATCCAACGACGACAATTAGCTCAGTTTTCCCCCATACAAGTCTCCAGAACGGAGAAATGCCAGGATGCCTCTTTATTTTTCAAATCGAGGTATTTAGCACCGAGAAAATACAGACCTTAATGAAAAAAAAAGTAATACTGCCACATGCGAATTTATGATCCCCCATTGCAATTACCTATCAGGAAATTGCACGAGTTGCCATGCTTTTTGTAAATTGAACGAAAGTAAATGCACTAACAGAAAAATACTTTCGTTCAGTTCAGCGAGATAAATTGTGGCGGCGATTCTTGCTCGTACGCGGAAAAACAACCATGCGCTCGCTGGAATCCCATGCGCTCTGCCACGGTCTCCGCTGCCCTCGGAATCGGCGCCCTCTCGCGGTAATCGGGCGCACAATAGTCGTTCATTTTGCTGGGGAACGCGGCGATTGGGACGGCCGAAGAAAAACACGCCGTTCGCTCGCCATCTCGGAGGCCATGACCTGGTTGCGTGTGACGTCAAGCGACGACATGAGACAACATCCCGGGCCACTAAACAGATCCGCACTTGAAACTTAATTAATGCTATTATAGACATAAAAGTGTTTCATTAGCTGGCTTCCTTGTGTGCATATGGTCAAAGTCAAAACACGTGAGTGACATCTAATTTTTCGAGCAGTGCTATAAATTATTTTACTTGTTTTAATAGCGCGAGTCTGTGCACCCAAGTCCCGCTTTCCACGTCGTGTTAACAACACACGTTGTTTGAAAACGCACTTCTCTCGATACCCGTTGATTTTCGAAGTGTTGAAGAGGTGCGCACACAAAAAGACATTTTCTGCAGTCCGTGTAGTTCGACCATTCTGTTTACTTGTCGAGTGTACGGGAAAGATAGTTACAATGTTCGTTTAAAGCCAGCACGGCACATAGCCGCCAAATGGCAAATACCGGTCTCAGTGACGCTGCGCTACCCAGTCCCCGGCGGCGTGCTGCGCGTGGTGCACGCCGTGGTCGCCCAGCAGCGAGTCTGGCGCGAACGCGGAGAGCAGCACGTTTACGACGCTGATGAGGAAGGTGAGCAGCACGACCACATTGTTCAACAGGTCAGCCTTGCGCTGCTCCCAGGGACAGTTGATGTTCCATCTCCCGAGCAGCACTAGCAGAAGGCCCGCGAGCAGCTGCAAGGGAAATGGGAGTTTCGAAAAAACTCGCTACTGGGAGAGTTGTACATACTTGGAAGGAAAAGATGGGTGCGCACCAACCACACAAGGGACACGGACGAGCGCAAACCTACAACTATAGCTTTATTTTTCGTCGCAGTAAATATATACGCGCGTTCAGTCACGCGGTAACAACGCTAATCGCACTGTAGCGCTCTCCAGAGTACAACAGGCCGCACAAGAGCCTCATTTCACAGTCAGATGAAGAAATAGAAGTAAGACCTCTTTGTTGAGATATAAAACCCTCCCATCAGTTTCCGTCCAATTCTATCATGGCCTCTGCCAAAATTTTGATGCCCCGGAAATTCGGAACACAGACTGGACAGTGCGTCAAAGTTCGCGCTATAAGGGAACATGAAATATCCTTAATCATTCAGGATAGTGCGCATTCACTTACGCGCGTTCGGTATTGAATGTGTGCTCCAAATTTTCGAAGCATCAACATATTGGACAAAAGTCACGATAGCACTGCCCGGAGATTACTGTGTGGCCTATTTTATTCTAGAGAGCATGACAATGCGATTACCGTTGTTACCACGCGAGTGTATGCGCGTACATTTGACTACGACGAAAAATGAAATTAGTTGAAAGTTTGCGCTCGTCCGTGTATTCAGTGTCCTTATGTTTGTGTGCGCAACCTCTTTTCCTTCCGGATGAGAGTTGATTATCACAGATGTCCACAGAGTTTCCTGCTATGTTATGGAAACTGTGCAAACGTCACACGCGTGAATCGACCCACCTGGAAGGAGATGGAGAGAGCGAGGAAGGCGACGCACGTGCCGTGGTAGCGCTGCCCCGGCGGTGCCGACAGCACGCGTCGCAGCTGACACGCGTTGGACGACAGCAGCGCCAAGTCGAGCATGCCCTGGGCCAGGGTCTTGCGAGTCGCGTACATGTTCATGTCCAGTGGGAAGCCACTGCGACCCTGAAACAGCCCAAATGTCCACGATGGCTTGGCAACTTTCGTGCCTCTGGGGTCTCGCAGGTGCGTAGACATTTTTTTTTTTTTTCAATTTTGCCTGCGTACAGATATAGGCGCACATACAAACGAACGCTAGAACACACAACGTGTGATTCCAGCATTTCCTTCATCCCGATGCGACCACCATGAGCCTAGACCGAAATTTCTATGTTTCAGAATTGGCGTCCAGATTTTAGTCATGCCAGAGATATGTACCGATGTGTTTGTCGAATTCTCGCGCCAAATCCCTTTCGGAAATAATCCATGATATTTTGTACACGATAGAGGCGGAAATGCTGTAGGCCCGTGTGCTCAGATTTGGGTGCACGTTAAAGAACCCCAGGTGGTCGAAATTTCCGGAGACCTTCACTACGGCGTCTCTCATAATCAAATGATGGTGCTGGGACGTTAAACCCCACATACCAAATCATATTTTGTACACTACTCGTCGTTCCGCACCCGCAGCTTGTTCGCTGTTCGGGTCTAACATTAGCGTGAGTTTGAGACCCCTGCTCAAGAGAGAGAATCAACTTTATTGAGCTCAAAGATTCGATGGTGCGTGCTTGCACCAGGCGGGATGGTTCGGGAACTTCGCATGTGTCAGGTCGGCCTAAACACATCCAGTGAGAAGACCACCATAAACGCTCACAAATCACAAAAGTGATCGATTGAACCAGCACATATCGCCGCTTACGGCCCGCTTCTCAGACACTATATGAAGGATGACAATTGCAGCCGCGGGTATGTATACTTATCCAAAAGAAACATTCTTATAAATGCATACAGTCAGTTGTGCGAGGCCGTCTCGATTCACGGTTTCACTACATCGAGATGTTCTCATAGTACGACAGCACTCAGCCGTAGTCTCTTGATTGCGCGTGCGGAATAGCAAGGGATATTGCTTCTGATACGAGCTCATGCACCTATACCTTTCGCTTTTTCGCCCTCTCCGAGACTTATTCTCGTTGCATCTATTTTAATCGTCAGCTGTCGCACCAACAGGTGCAAGTTGCACAGAGGGGAGGAGTTGCGCTGCCTATAGCGGGGAGCTGCACTGTGTAGTATACATGCTGTAAGTGATCATCACCGTCAGCCTGACTACGTCCACTGCAGGACAAAGGCCTCTCCCATTTTCCGCCAGTTAACTCGGTCCTGTGCTTGCTTGCTCCTGCCAATTTATACCCACAAACTTGATCATTCACACCGAAAGCGGAGCGGCGAGGTAGATTTCCAACGCGGTGAGGCGGCGAAAACGCGTTAAAGAGGAGAGGACGTTGCCTCGTGTTTCGGCTTTCTGTTCGCCTGTCAAGTCAAGCACATTACAGCATATATATTATATAGCATTACATTATCACACTAGTGTGCTGCGTTTATTCTTTAGGGGCGAAGCTCCTCAGGGCGTGGGTCTGTACATCCTCCGATGTATGTAGTTGTAGTAGGTAGCCACTGGTGGCACATACCCGCTCTAGAAAAGGTATGAGCCTCAGGGGATGCGAGATGGCGTGAGGCAAACGGACACGGCTGAAAATCTCAAACTGCCACTCACGAGTCAAAGTCACAACGGAGAACATGCAGCCATCAAAGTCTTTGACTCTGGAATCGTATTCATGATCGTGTATTTAGCTCTTATAGCCTGTCGGTCGGAAATGTCAAGCATAAATAGACACGGCATTGAAAGAGTACAATACAACGTAGAAGAATGCACCATTCGTACTGGTTGGTGATTTTAACGTGGATATCGCAGACATGACAAATAATTGGCTTATCCAACATATGGCTTCTAGATATGCACTCTAATGTATATCATGCAGCGTGGGAACTTGGGCAAGTTGGTAGGCCATAACTGAACATACGAACAGCGCAACTTAAAAGTAGTTACAGTGTAACCACAGAAGCAAAGATACAATAATAGAAAAGAGCACTGACTTTCAACAATGATTTAATAGCGGAGTGGTGTGCATATATAAGCAAAAAAATCAGAAAATGGGCATGCTCAGAATGGCGCAGCATACAACCACAGCGAAACAATATCAGCAAAACCCTTGTCTCTTGTTGATGGAACAAATGTGTAGCTTAAAAATGATCGAGATACGCGATCTCTTTCTGTAATAGCGCAACTGATGGGGAGCTTACACATGCAGCGTCAAACTTGTTTATGTGATAGGCTTCGTTTATCTCACGCGTGGCATGTGAGTGGTGCTTGCCTATTACCTCGCAACGCTCAAAGAGAGGCACGCAGCCACAGTCACGGCAGTGCATGGATTCCGAGGTGTCCTTGGACTGCACTGTGCACATTAATATTGTGCTCTCTTAAACGGTCATTCAAGCACCTTCCAGTTTGCCCAATGTATATCATACAGCAGGATAGCGGAATAAGATATTTATGCCCACGTGAGCTGTGTATTATCTTGAAAGAATGCTTAGAAGTGAGTTTGCTGTTGCTTTGTTCAAGCGACGTAGAAACTAACCCTGGCCCCCCTACTCTTCGCAGTTCCAGCACAGACATAGGTGAAGAACAAACTCCTGTACATAGTGCCGCCATACTTGAAATACTCAAAGGTATCAACGAACGAACAATTCATCTAACTGAGAGCCAAGCCAATCTAACCACGGATGTTAAACAATAAAAGATAACCAAGAGACTATAAAAACTAGTCTCTCAGATATATTCACCCGCCTTGAAACCTTGGAGCATGAATCGAAAACCCTAAATGCACTCCAGGAAGATATCGTGTCAATTAGGAGCTCCACCGCCCATCTGACGTCCCAACAAGAGATGTTACAGACGCGGTTGGATGACTTAGAGGATCGCTCCAGACGAAATAACGTCGTTATTCATGGTATATCAGATTCGAAAGAAACGTGGAACGATACGGAGGAGAAAGCACTTGCCGCGTTACACTCCGCACTTGGCGTCGAAATACCCCCCTCAGAGGTCGAAAGAGCTCACCGTATAGGGACGCTATCTGCATCCAAACCCCGCCCCATTATAATGAAATTTTGTTCCTTTAAAACCCGAGATAAGGTATTATCAGCGCGCGCTAAACTTAAAGAATCCGGTATTTCGGTATCCGAAGACTTTTCGCCTGCGACTCGTGAGGCACGAAAGAAACTGTCTGAATTCGCTAAGGGTCTACCTGGATCTCCGAAATACAAATTGCGCTACACGAAACTGTATGTCAACCAACAATGCTACGTATATGACTCTTTAACCGATACTGTAACAGAAACGAGTAACTTTCCCCACCCTGAAACGCATCAACGCAAAGCATCGCAAAACAACGGCCTAGACGCTACGCAAACAGCAAACCTAGAGACACGATAGGAAGACGCGAGGGGATGTGGGCGATTGCCGCCCCCGTCACGCTTATCTGTACTTCTTGCGAACGTCAGGAGTGTGCTTAATAAACTTGACTCTTTTAACTCTATCGTAGACACGTGCAGACCTAATGTTATCGCGTTAACCGAAACTTGGCTGAATAATAACATTCGGAACACGGAAATTTTTTACGATGCGTCCCGCTACACAATTTACCGTTGTGACCATACCCTTCGCCAAGGCGGTGGCGTTATGCTTGCTGTTTTGAATGCACACGATTCTTACCAGGTTGCTGTTGAAACCGATATTGAAATTATCTTATCGTGTGTTGAGGTGGCGCACCAGAAATTCATTTTTGCGGCATGTTACCGCCCCCCTAACGTCCCGCCAACGTTTACTGCTTCCTTACACGATGTTCTTAATACCGTAGTAACTCGCCTGCCAAACGCCACGATTTTCTTATTAGGTGACTTTAATTTCCCTCAAATCATGTGGTCCTCCGAATCACCCAGGTTTAATTCAAGTTCCTCACAAGTTAGCGACTTTCTGAACCTCTGCTCAACCTTCACCCTTACCCAACTAGTTACCCAGCCGACGAGAATAACAGACAGCACAGCAACGGTACTAGACCTCGTACTTACCTCACGCCCCGACTCTGTCTCGTGCATGACATATTTACCCGGTTTATCTGATCATTTAATCCTTTCTTTCGACATCTCAGTACCAGCTCTAGAAACACGTAAGACAACTAAGCAAATTCGTGATTATAAGAAAGCAAATTTCGATGCCATTAACATTGAACTGTCCACTTTTCTCGACATTTTTCTAGACAATCGACAACCGTACAGTTGAAGCTAACTGGAACTTATTCCTGCGAAAAGTCGACGAGCTAACCAACAAATACATCCCTCTTCGCAAAATCTCTTCGCATGCCAGAGCTCCATGGTACAATGCCTACTTAAAACGTCTATCAAACCGCAAGAAGCGCCTTTACCGTAAAGCGAAACTGCTGCCCACGAACGCTCGGTGGGTTGCATACAAAGTAGCTAACGATTCCTATGTATCCGCTGTCAAAAATGCAAAATCCAACTTTTTCCAGAGTACCTTACCTAGCCTGCTTCTAATCAATCCCCAAAGCTTTTGGCGTGTAATTAATCCAAGCACGACTGATTCAATTAAACTGCTGGACCATAATGACGAATCCATTCCCGACAATGAGTGTCCGGTTGTTCTGAACAGGTTTTTTTGTAGTAATTTTGTGGTTTCTTCCAGTACATCTCTTCCTTCCCCAAAGCTGCACGATTATCAACTTATGAATCCAATTATTATTGACACTCGGGGAATTTCTAAAATAATACAGTCACTTAAGCCCTCTTCAAGCCCTGGTGTCGATCTTATAACTTCTAAATTTCTTCAAGGTACGGCCTCGTATTCTTCAATTCTTCTTACCAAACTTTTTCAACAATCCATTGACAGCGGGTCCCTACCCATCCAGTGGAAAATCGGTAAGGTGGTCGCCGTTCACAAATCAGGTAGCAAAGAATCTCCTTTAAATTACCGCCCTATATCCCTTACGAGCATTCCTTGTAAAGTCTTGGAGCATGTCTTGTACACAAGCATCGTGACGTTTCTCGAATCCAACTCATTTTTCACGGATGCACAACATGGTTTTCGAAAGGGATTTTCGTGTGAAACCCAATTACTGTCTTTTACACACCAGCTTCACCGCATTCTTGACCGTCACTCCAAAGCGGACTGTATTTTTTTAGATTTTGCAAAAGCCTTTGAGAAAGTGTCCCATAATCTCCTGCTCCTAAAACTTAGCAAACTTAACCTTGATCGTGATGTGTTCAAATGGCTGGAACACTTTTTGTGTGGCCGTACACAGTTTGTTGCAGCCAACTCATATAATTCCCCAGAATGTTCTGTTAATTCGGGCGTACCCCAAGGCTCAGTCCTGGGCCCCCTCTCATTTTTAATTTACATCAATGACCTCACTGATTGCGTTTCATCAAACATACACCTGTTCGCTGACGATTGTGTGATAATTCGTGAAATTAACGACACAAGCGATGTTAGTATTTTACAAAACGACCTTAACGCTATTTCAAACTGGTGCAGTCTTTGGCTAATGAACTTTAATATTAAAAACTGTAAAGTTTTACGCGTATGTCGAACTTCAACCACTCCCGCCTCGTACCATCTTAATAATGTTCTACTCGATTGTGTTTCATCCTACCGGTACTTAGGTGTGCACATTACTTCTTGCGTGACCTGGTCCGTTCACATAAGCAACATTATTAACAATGCAAACCGTATGTTAGGCTATCTTCGTCGCAATTTTTCTTCTTCACCTGCCTCTCTAAAACTACTGATGTATAAGAACTTGGTTAGAAGTAAATTAGAATATGCTGCTTCAGTTTGGGATCCCAGCATGGTTTATCTGATTAAAGCCCTCGAACTGGTCCAAAATAACTCTGCCCGGTTTATCCTACACGATTACGATCGAACAGCAAGCGTTACAGCTATGAAAAACTCGTTGCAGCTGACTTCCCTTTCTTCTCGTCGTAAGTTTTTTCGCCTGTGCCTTTTTCATAAAATCTTCCATAACAGCCCCCACCTTCGTGCTAATCTTTTTCTTTCACCGTCCTACGTGTCCTCTCGCATCGATCATGCGCACAAAGTTGGTATGCCGATATGCCAAACAAGAACGTGTTCAGAATCCTTTGTCCCACGCACCAGCAAAGACTGGAATCAGCTTCCTGGAGCGACTGCTGCGATTACTGATTATCAGCTGTTTCGCGCTGCACTAACAAACATTGTAAACTGAGGTTACTTATGACGTGTGCCTTTTTCGTTTTTTTTTATGTTCTTGCGTGTTCTGATGTGTTTTGTAGCTAGAATTGTATACTAAGATTATTTAAAGTATGTACACTAGACCTCTTTTGTTCTGCTTTTGTGTCCTAACTTTGTTATCAGCTAAAATTGATTATTCAGTAAACGTTGAATCCTGTACTCCCCTTTACTCTCCTTCTGAATCCATTTTTTTGTAAAACCACTCCCCTCTTCAATGCCTCTGGCCCTGAGGGTACAATAAATAAATAAATAAATAAATAAATAAATAAATAAATAAATAAATAAATAAATAAATAAATAAATAAAACACCAATAACACAATGCACGAAGTGCATTGTGTGTTTCACAGAGCATCTTACTATATTTGCAGCTGGTCCATTCACTAACCTGCAAAGCTTTGATAGCTTTTCCGGGGAGGAAAATAAAACAATGATATTAGCTCGTTTCCCGATTCTTCGGTCTATATATGCGAAACGTTGTGCAGATAAGGGACTGCAACACAGTTCTTAAGAACTGACGCATTTTGAGGCTGAGATCGCCCTTCTTGATTTTTGATTTGCTTCAAAAGCTTTTTCCGCAACACCAGAAATCCGGGCGTTCGAGTAAACAGTGCTTAAGAGGCGCTAGACCTGTGCTTTGAAACTTCGAATAACGCGTTCGATGCTCTAACCACTGAGCTATCACAGCGGCCTCGTGCTTTGAAACTGCGTTGCATAGAGTGCGGGCATGACCTCCTAAAAGCGTTAAGAAGGCAGACATTGATGATACCGCTCTGCTTCCGAAGTTACACCGCAACTACTTTTAAGTTGCGCTATTCGTTTATTCAAATGTATATCGTTTGACCATATGAAACCTACCGCGATCCGAGGAACATGACCTAGTAATTTTTCACTACAACCCGTACAGGAACCGGTGCACCCTTCATTTCACGGACCATAAAGTCGTTATAATGAAGGGACATCGCAAGCCACCCATCGTCTCTAAGAACAAATAAAAGTTGATTTGTATATATACACGGACAGCGTTTCTAACGTCTTTAAATGATGATCGACTCGGCGAATTGCACGAAAGATTAGCGGTTTACCGATGATTTTTTTTTTTTTTGAGGTGAGGTATTCTTTATTTATTTATCGTGAATACATTGAAAGGCTGACGACAAAAGCTGCATACCTCCGGAGCTTCGCTCACTCATCATCATACACCCCGTGCACATGCTGCGAGTTTTTTTTTTTTTTTTTTTTTTCACTGCAGTGCGGGCAATCGCTTATAAGATCACCACCTTTTATGAAGGACGTTTGTCAATCGCGTACTATCTGTAGTCACCCATAGAGCCGAAGACGTTACCACAGATGGCATTATAAAAACCACCAGATAAATAAGCGGAAGAAAGTACAGACCATGACGATTGCGCTGTCTTAAGAAAGAAAGAAAACCATATGTACTGTTACATGTGTACTGTGTTGTGATATGGGGGGTTTAACGTCCCAAAACCACCGTATCATTATGAGAGACGCCCAATTGTATTAATTATACTGTATTATTACGATAGAAATGAAGAAGGTAAAGTGTACAGAAAAAAAAATTTCTGGCGGCAGCGACCGAACCGGCAACCTTCGGATAACGCGCCCACTCTATACTGATTTAACTACGACGGCAATATTCCTCTCTGCCACTTTTTTTTTTTAATTGCGACATAGACTTGCTTTCACGACGTAATATGTAGACTTGCTTTCAAGACGTAATATTTTGTGCATGTATTTGTATCGAATGTGCGTCATTAGGCCGGTGTTGTGCATGAAATGAAGCAGTGTCTTGTGGAATGTGTTATCATGCATCCAGCGGTCGTAACAAGTTTTGTCGCTGTAGCGAAGGCCGGCTTGCAGGAGGTGACGGGAGCGTCCCGACTGTAACACTTCGCATGTCCGTATAATGTAGCACGCTTGCTTCACTGGAGTGGTCCACTTTAACGTCCATATAGTGGACGTCCATAAAATGACGATCGTCCTGTCTTCCATAACCGTAGCTCAGTAGGTAGAGCATCGGGCACGTTGATTGATTGATTGATATGCGGGGTTTAACGTCCCAAAACCACCATATGATTATGAGAGACGCCGTAGTGGAGGGCTCCGGAAATTTCGACCACCTGGGATTCTTTAAAGCGCACCCAAATCTGAGCACACAGGCCTACAACATTTCCGCTTCCATCGGAAATGCAGCCGCCGCAGGCGGGATTCGAACCCGCGACCTGCGGGTCAGCAGCCGAGTACCTTAGCCACTAGACCACCGCGGCGGGGCGAGCATCGGGCACGTTATCCGAAGGTTGCAGGTACGGTACCTGAAGGCGGCGAGTTGTCTCTTTGTCCACATTATACTTTCTTAAATTTATGTCACAATTAGAGAAAGCAGTACAATTATAGCGTCCTCTATGGACAGACGCGTCCCCTGTTAAAGGAATCACCAGCATGCACAGCATGTTTCGATTTCTCTCAATTACAGAAGCATAGTGACTGATTTTGCATAAGACTATACTGGTGGAAGAAAGTTGACACTTCTTGACAGATTAGTGGCGTGCATGAAGATTGCTTCTTCACCAACTTCCTGCTAGAGGGCCAGCAATATTGATGGCGTACATTCGAGTGTTCATTTTAACAGAGAACCGTACTGTATTTTCCTTGAATTATACATTACCCACTGGTTTTTTGTCAAGGCGGTGTCAAACAGCGGCGTAAACGCGGAAAAGTCACAAGGAGGGACACATATTTTTGCCATGGCGGTCATCTTGTTTTTGTTAGTGTTTTTTTCACTTATATAAAAATAAAACCATGCTTAAAAGTCACTTTAAAGAAAAATATGGCTTCCCAGCTTGCGTGACTGCATTGTTCCATTGAGTCTTTTATGAAACTGATCGAGCGGCAGTGGCTGTATGAATAGCCTCACACAGCTGAGGGGTAGTGAACACCTGTACAGGTCACAAAAAATAATGGCATTGAAAAAGTTGGATTCACTACATTTTACCATCAAGTTATTCGGGCATGCGATCTTTGAAAAAGAATCTTCGAGGGGGGACACTTGCAAAGGTGCCCCCCCCCCTCCCCAGCCTGAGCACAAGGGGGGCCAGGACTCTCCTGTCCCCCACTCCCCCAACATGATTTACGCCACTGTTGTCAAACTAAGCAACGAGCCCTCAAAACTCCCTTCTTATCGTTCAACGAATGTACCAGCTCTATAGAGACAAGCTAGATAAAAGGGCTCACCCTCTCGGAGCCCATGTCGCCTCCCCCGACGACGCTGTCCTCCAGGCCCAGTTGTCGGCGTACGGCGTCCATGTGGGCGGCGGGACGGGCTTCTCCGAGTGGAAGGCGCCGACCGACTCCTACACCGGCTCGGCCGACGCGCGCGTGACGGCGACGCACCTGCTCCCCCCGCTTCCTTTTAGCGTCGCCCGTTATGCACCATTTTCGCGAACACGGCCCCCTCGCCACCCGTGCGTGGGAACGGAGACGGCCACAAAGGATTGCCCAGTGACAATCGAAACTTTTTTCTTGGGCGAGATGATATTGCATGTTACATAGTTCTTCATAGACGTCACCGTGGTCGACATCTTGGGAGGCAGACAGGAGAAGGAAAGATAGACGGCGCGGCACTCTCAGCTATTTAATTGCGCATGAAGCTCAATAATGGCCCGTGAAAACCCTAGAGTAACTTTTGAAAAAGCTGTCGTGGTGGTGGCACGCCTTAAACCGTTGGAGCATTTACGGCGTGGTTACAAGATATAGACCTACTCGTAATAACATGCATGTCACCAACGAAAATTCGGCTGTCGCCGGTCGAGAGCCCTTTGAACGCAATGCATAATCAGTCGGAATTGCTTCCGCATGCAGGAATATTAAACAACACGAGCATTTCGAGTTTCCAAATTTGGTGCGAGGGGTCCTCTAGATAAGAGCGGCAAAAACACCACGATCGAGAAAGGTACGTAGAAGAGACTGTTGGGCGAATCAGTTATTCATTCTGACTTAGACGGCGTGAAAAATGAACGCGCCTGTGTTGCTCGCTTCTTCCTGAGTCTACGTTTTTGGCGCAATTTAACTCAGGGAGAAAGGTATGGGGCAAAACCGTAGTACAATACTGCACTTGCATGCCGCATTTTGGTGACTTGCTAAAACACTCTAATTAAATTTCTCTCGACACCAGGCGACAGCACAGAGCATGTTGATTGATATGTGGGTTTTAACTGTTCCAAAACCACCATACGATTATGAGAGACGCCGTAGTGGAGGGCTCCGGAAATATCGACCGCCTGGGGTTCTTTAACGTGCGCCCAAATCTGAGCACACGGGCCTATAACATTTCCGCCTCCACCAAAAATGCAGTTACCGCAGCCGGGATTCGATCCCGCGGCCTGCGGGTCAGCAGCCGAGTACTTTAGCCACTAGACCACCACGGCGGGACCGCAAAGAGCACGTGACAATCAGGAGCTTTGAGTGACAAGTGACCTCGTTCGCGACAAGGTGACTTTCGCTCTAAGCATGACGCGTCATGGCGCGAAATAAATGTTTGACTAAGACATTTTGGACCACGGACTGATATGAATGTGGTATGCCTCAGGAAGTTTTCGCGCCGTTTTGTCTTTGCTCTTATCCAGTATCTCTACCTCAGAAAAATGTACTCTAGTTTTTACAGCAGCATGATCTCCGATGCCAGTTTTGGCATTGTATCTATCACCCATTGATTGCTCGCACTTCGCTGTACTGTGTCCTGCATTCTGTCACGAGAGTGATGTATGTATGTATGTATGTATGTATGTATGTATGTATGTATGTATGTATGTATGTATGTATGTATGTATGTATGTATGTATGTATGTATGTATGTATGTATGTATGTATGTATGTCAACCTGCACGCCTAATTAATTAAACATATAAAGTCTTTTAGTGCAGCACATCGAGGACGTAAATTCTTGGTACCGGAATTTTTCACGAATGTTTAGCAGTAAAGAACCCGTTTCTCGTGACGAATTCCGGCCAAGTTCTTGATTTCATACGATCCTGTTCTAAACAGCGCATGTGTCGTTTTTCCAATGACGTAAAATATTCGTTGCACACGAATTGATTCTTAATTGTGAGTGCATTGACAAGCTTGGTAGCATAACATTTCATAGCATTTCTGGTGTATCGTCGACTCTAGTAGCTTTCTAGAACTTTTATCCTTTTATTTGAAGTATGCTTTTATTCAATGGAACGGGAAGCCCCACCGTCAAATGGAGGGCATTTGTATCGGGTCATGCATTGCTCCAATCTTAAGTGACTTGTTTTCAGCCAAGCTTGACAGAACCGTTTCCGGTGACCTTAGTGACAACAGAATCACGCGCATTTGTAGATGTTGACGACTTCCTAATTCCTCTCGACTGTGATCTCATTTCTTGTACCCTAGATATTCTCAACTTCATCAAGGAGCGGTTGAAACCCCTTGTTTTAACTCGTGAGTTGCCTGTCAATAACACTCTCATATTTTTAGATATTGATCTTCTTTTTCATCTTAGACCTCACTTGTTGGACATACTAGCCAAGGAGAAACAAACCCTTGCTTCCATACCACTCCAACCACACTAAACTTATAAAACGAGGCACTGTACACCTGTGCTTTAGTATGCTTTACAGAAGTCTTGTCCACATCTAATGGCAGCTAGTTTTAAAGAACAAGCAGAGCGACTTCTGAATGCTGGCTACCCCTCTCACGTACAGGTTTCTGTCGCGGGAAATCTGGTCAAGAAGCTTCAGTCCTTGGAGCAGGCTTTGCCCATTTTGAGCCAGTAAGGCGTCAGAAGCTTGCAGTAGTGCCTTATCTTCATGGAATCTCCCACAATTTGAAAAGGTTGAGGCGCGGGCCAATGTAAAGGTGATTTTTTTCTGCCCCGAAAAAGCTCTCGTACTTGTTTATGAAGGTTGTTTCACACGCAAAACCAGCTTGTTCTAAAAAGCACGAAACGCTGGTTGTCACGTGCGCAGAAAATGTATTCTTTCAGATACCTCTTTCATGCGGCAAGCACCACATAGGACAAACTGGCCGCTGTTTTAATGACCGGCTCCGTGAACATGCTTGTAACGTCAGAAATGGTCGCGATGGTTTTTCGGCACTGCATTGCAGCCTCTGTGGCTGCAAACCACTTTTCCATGGTACGGGTGTTGTAGGTAAAAACAGAGATAAAGTGACAAGGAAAAGTAGTTGAAAGAGAAACAATTTGTAGATTAGGGCTGAACTGCGTCAGCACGCCTTCTCTTGGTCTTTTTAAAAAAAGAATTGTCCTTCCTGAGATTGTAAGATTTCGCGCATGGAAATTGAGGGTTCTCATCTGTTTTGTCTGTTTTTTTTTCGAATTTTGAGAGCATATATATGTACGCGCCTCGAAATAAATTTTGTTGGAAGTAAGCACTCCCCCTTGTCCCTTATCTTATCCTGTGTCTCACATATTTCACGCACTACGTAATAATTAAGGCTCAACCACATCTTTGTGGTAGGTGATTTCGTAAATTAAGTTCATGGAGCACTAACGGCGAACAGAATTAATTAGTCAATACACCAAAACAAGCACTGACATGCATTCATGTGAGCAGCAGGCATTAATCTGAAATATATGACGCCATTTATGCCCTAAAACACGCCTATTTACGCGACAGAGTTAAAGTAATCAGGATTAAAAACAGCTAAAGTGGAATTTGCAGCAGCAAAACGTTATTTTTGAAGCACTAAAATTCAAATTTGGAGCCGGTTACGATTTTTTTTTTGTCATGAAAGACCAAATTTGCAGCAGTATGAAAAGAAGGCTTACATTTACAATATATATATATATATATATATATATATATATATATATATATATATATATATATATATATATATATATATATATATATAATATATATATATATATATACATAGAAAACATTCAACCCCCCTAAATCAAGCAGAGTGAATATGAGCACTGCTATAAGGCACATTAACTGCCAGTAAGTAAGCAAGCAATCAATTTGTTCCTATTCCCTTTTGACACAGGGCAGCGGTTTCATACGCCACAATAATAAAAATAAACAAATAAGTAAATAAATAAATAAATAAATAAATAAATAAATAAATAAATAAATAAATAAATAAATGAACTGTTATTCGTGAACTGGCCAGGCGTCACGGTCAATGCGCACACACACAAGCACCCAATCGTTTGGTGAAAGTCGAGCCAAGGCAAGCCGTATTCCACACCTGCTCCATTCGTGTGGTTTCAACTATAGTTTCAACCTGGATGTTTACATGTTGGGCCACTTTATTTTGCCCCGACACATCGAAATTGGGTGACGGGTTGCCAGTGCGCGGGGTTGAAGAAGACGAGGGTGTGTGGGGCGTTTGCCTGGCCGGTGTGTTTTGGGCCCCTCTGTGAAACCGGCCCCAACGTAGCAGGAGTGTCTTGTAGAATTTACCCAGTTGAAATGGATTTCATCTGTATAGCCCGACAGTCCCAAGAGTTCCGGCAGACTTAGGAAGGTGCGGGGCACATCGTGGAGACGCGAACAAGCCCGTAGAACGTGGGCGATTGTTTCTTCGGTTGCTCCACACAGGCGGAGAGTTCATGGCGTCGTTGTTGGGTCGCCAAAGGGCCCGTGCGAGCCTGGAACACTAGTGCTCTTGATTTGCCTCCTCTGTAATGAGGTTTGGTGCCCGGTGCCAGTTCATGTGATGCGTAACACGATGGGCTGCGTCTCTCGGTGACCGAGTCTCTTCGTGGCCGCTATTTCCATAAGCTACAGTTACTGTAATACCCGTGCCACACGGGCATAGAAAATGACATTTGGTGGCGACGGCCTTCAGTTCCCGAATGACATTCGTTTCGCCAGCGCTGCTACACGTTCAAAGCGAATGACATTTGACTTGATGATGTCATCACAGCACCTTCCAAGTGAGCATTGAGTGAATAGCAATAAAAAAAATTAAGAAGCACTTACAAGCTTCAAACACATCAGATAATCATCAAATGTAGAAATAAGCGTATTACGCTGTCCTAAGTTTTAGTTTCTTGCTTTGTTTTACAACGTTGCAGCCGACCGTAGCAACCTAAGCCAACACTAGTCAGATCCACACCGTAAATAGACACTAAAATTGACAAGCGTTTCATTATCAATACTTTATTTTCTTTGGATAACGTTCAAAGCACCTTTTTCAGACTTTAGTGCAAATAAAAGACGGGAAATTTCATTTTTAGCTCAATATGATTCCTTTATATACTTTCAGGTAAATCGCACTTCGCGAGCTGTGTCGTCGAGAGTAGGCATTTCTCAGTCAACTGAGTTCTGGCGAAGGCAGTTGGTGGCGAATGGCATTCGAATGGCATTCGGATGAATGCCATTTTGTTCGCCCGTGT